CAAACAAAACATGATTCCTTTGACCAAAAACGGATCTCTCAATTAAGCAAACATATTATAAGTTCCAACAAACTGACGATCTACTTGAAAACACATCTTGGTTCATAAGGTTTCAATTGCTCCAACTTGTGTTTCAACCCCCTTGGAAGTTGGAGATGCAATAGAATTGAGGTTGATCACAACATTCTTTAATACTCTAAAATAACCACGATTTCCGATTTTAGGCACTCATTCTATATTTCCGAGGCATGAATCAGAAGGATAGCATTTGCATTCTACTCTAGAATCTGCAATGAACCTTACTTCGGAAAGTCCTGGTCGGGCTCGGCCGAGTGAGCACCTTTTGCAGTAAACATCCCATCTACAATACCCAAGTGAAACACTCGTAGTACACCTTCCCCAAGGTTGGTGAATGTTCTTGGTTGTTCCACTAACACCATTGTTGCAGACATAGCTCAGTTACATCCAAATAACGACAAAGGAAAACGCAGGCTAGTTGCTGTGCATCCTGCTATGCTACATGCATTTGCAAGCTGTATTTTTCTTACGCAAAGGGTCAAAATGTAAGTTATAAAATATTATTAATGGAGCCAATCGGCATATATTCGAATTCGCCGTAGACACCGCCATTTCTAACATCTCTAAGCCTATTTTGCCATGAATGTGATGGCACTCTTCTCTCTAGCTGCAGGTATTCCCAATGATCTCGATCAGCATCCAGCTCAACGATTTTGTTGAAAAGCCTCTACAACCTACTTCTACTCGGAAATAATGTGTTTTCCAGCCTCCCCGTCGAGCTTCTGCTAAAAGGTCTTCATATTTCGCACGTTTGAGCTCATTAGATTCTTCAATTTGTTTTTCTTAAGGGACATTCAGTTCAACCAAAACAACACATTTAGTATTTCCGAAGTGATGGCGATATCAGGTCTTAGGTTTGTGATGGCCACTGTTTGGGGAAAGACAAGCTGCTTGGTTAGATCCACTTCCAGTCTGCTGCTTAATGGAGAATACTTATGTAGGGTTCGGGTTGTTGTTTAGTTCTTGCTTCTTCCCAAGCTTTCTTGAAACTGATGACTTGAGGTCTCCCAGCATTTGGAAATGTCTTGTTAGATTTCTGTATTCGTATCATGGACTCAAGGATCCGAGAAATCTTTTAAGGACCTGGTCATGACGCCATGAATACCTATGCTCACTTAGAGCTACTTTACAGGAACTAAGCACATGTCCGAGTGAGGCAGGTTTGTCTTTGCACAAAGGGCATGTTGGATCATCCAGCATGTTCCACAATGTCAGATTAGTGGCTGATGGTAAAGTGTTTAGAAGAAAGACATCGCCTAATTGTAGAAGCTCATTCTCTGTCATCTTTCTACTTTCAATCCATCCCAGTTCATACATGCCCCTTGGCTTTTCATACTCACTGTTTTAACTCGGTGTCTCTTCTCTTCAGATTTTCTGATCTGTACCATCACCATTTCCTCTATGGTACACTAGCCTTTGACCAAAGAACAACTCTTTAATAACTAAGGCCTCCCCCCCCCCTGCAAGTGTGCCAATGATATAACTTTGGCGCAATCTGCATTCTGCTTCAGAGATGGCCTCCTGGGGAGACCAATTTCTGTTCTTGGGGGTCATGGCTTATGTCTTCCTGGATAATTCATCACTGGAATCCCGAGGGCTTGTTGGTGGCTTCCATCTTGGTGAATGGTCGGTTGAATATCGTCATTGAAAGTTTCTCTTGCAGTGTATATGGGTTACAGATATCGCCATGGTGTGTTTGTTGGACAGTAATTCCCTGTTGTAAAAAGTAATTTAGGCCTCCTCAAAATATTGTCCCCCAGGCGACTATCTATGGATTTGATTCAATGGACTAGTTACCCTAGGGTACCATTTTTCTGTTACATTGGCCCTTTTAAGCCTTACCTTTCCAATACTCGATAGAAGTAAATGAGGCATAAATAGCTAGGTATCAGACTTTATCCTTGGTCCAAGAGTATTTCAGTTCTTTCCGGTAGCAGTAGACCCGATCGTGGAGAAGGAGTAGACTATTAAACATCTGACAATTTTTAATGGTTTATTGTCTATTAAAATCTTAATTGACACGAAAGGGTTAAGTATAGAATCCATGAAATGGTTATTAAAGTTGATAAATTAGTACTTTAGATTAGAGCGTCATATTTAAGACCATCCAAATCAAGCGAACACGTAAATACTACATAATGACGCAAGAATTCGGTGGCAGGTATAAATGGTTATATTGAAAAAGATCGAAGTCATCATGAACTCATCATTATGAAATATCTTTGTGATTATCAGAACCCATGAACAACTTGTCCAGTAATGAACAGTGGTTTCTGAAAAAGATATCATCACATAATTTTGCACGAGCCATTTCTGATAATTTAGATACTAATCGACGTATTCACACATGTATTTTCAATTTCCGTAAAGCATGGTTTAATAATTCAATCCAAGGGGGTATCCCATAAGTAATGGTAATTCTGCTCTTAAATTCTGCTCTTATTTGATAAGAAAACATGCAATTCAAACGGAATAAAGATCAATTTGTGGGCTTCATTTTGTAATGTAATGTTTCCACTTTACGCATTTATACTCCATTCGTGGCAACACCAACCCAAATGTACAGAATTAAATGTGCATTTTGTGAGGCTTTGTTGAAATGTCTGAAACTTCTTCATTTTATGATGATTTTCTAAAGCCCCCACCCCACCCCCCCCCCCCCTTGCTGGTCCGAGAAAAAAAGTACCCCAATAAATGTTTGGGCCCGGATATTTCGTTGGGCCTAAGGAAAATGGGCCTTTTGGGCATAACTTGGCCTTCCTAGACCAGATTATCAATTTTTGGTTTTAGGGGCCCAAAATATTTTTGTAGAACTTGAAATCTCTCCCCCCCCCCTCCCCCTTGTTAGCTCCTCGATCGGCCAGTGGTATTAATATCAGACTTGATGTAAAATGTGACTAAGTACACCTGTTTAACTGTGCCAAATAATTTTGGTAAAATGCTGAAGACCTACTACCACGATCATAAAGAAACCCCTAATTGTGATTTAGGAGTACTTTTATGTTTAAATTTTCTAATAAAAGAGCTTTAAACCAGTCTTCTCAAAATTAATAATAATATAAATATAAGATTTTATCGGGTATTATAGTGTATTATAGTAGAGTGGGCATCAAAGTGTTTTCATGAATGTCCCTCAAGGCCAATGATAGTGACATTTGGAATCATGTTATTGGTATATTAATCAGTTTAGTCTGTGGGATGACCCACAACTAACAGGACTGGTATTGGCATTTTGTTAATTATGTTCCAATTATGTTCAAATTTCCCCTATTAACATATATTTTATGTATCAGGACTCGAAGTGCAAAGTTAGAAAAACTTAAATTGTGGTAAGAGTTATCGTGACTATGGTGGTGTGACGTCATCACTGAACTCGGGTCAACTTTTTAGCTAATGGTACATTGTTTTGGATGGTGCTTGTTCATCGTATCTCAAAGCGCCATACTATGGACGAAATTCAACTAAGTACATAATTCAATAATGTTTGAACATTATTCTGTGCAAATTTTATAAGGATTGGGTAGAATCTGAAGAAATGCCAGATACTTTTACCTTATTTATTGATCACCCTGTAGCTATCAATTCGCATTGATTTTCAAATGAAACTGAACAAAATGCTTACTGTACTCGTATGTACTTTAACAGTTTCGAAAGTAAATAACTTATTTCACGGAGTAGGGGAGTGTATGAAAAGCAACAGTGAATTTATTATGTTTTGTTTCTTCACGGGTAGTATCTAAAGCCCCGTTATGATTGAAAAGTCGCGAGCAAGTTCCCGCTGAAATCGCGAGCATAGTCCTGTTTATTTGTATCACTTTGGAAAATGAACCAAAAGGATGAAAATACTTATTACCGTTCTTTGATACTCCAGCAAAACTTTGAAAACAGATATATTTGACAAAAAATGACATGAAAAATGATTATTTTTTACTTGCATGAAGGAAAGGGGCGTCAACATGCACGTTTGCATAATTTACTGCTCATATATTACCTTTATCATTAAAATAAAGGCAATAAATACGATTTACATACTCCATAATAAATATCGGATCAAGATGGTCTGTATTGATAAGTTACTGGACAATGACACCTGCCATGGGGGTCGAAATACATGATTAAAGGTGTTCCAGTGGCCCCGCTGAAAAAATGAGGAGGCCCCGCTGAAAACATGAGGAGACCCCGCTGAAAACACGAGCAAATTTCACGACTACCCGCTTCGATCACGAGGAAAGCTTCATCATTATTCCATGAATATAGTGAGCTTCTTTATATGAACGTACACGAATGTGCAAATAACGTATTAATGACAGTCACATAATATATCATTCTATGGCAACATCACAAATATTTCTTCTTCAACTTCAGGCAGTCTAATCCATCTGTCAGCGGCATGATCAAATTTTTATATGTAAATAGACTTTGTGCATTTCGGAGTTAAATGTACATTCTAGATAATTAACTATTCCAAGGATTATACTTCTGAGGACACATATATTTCATTGGTCTCTTTGTCCGACCGTTCATTCGTGCGTGCATTCGACCGACCGTTCGTTCGTTCGTGCGTTCGTCCGACGGTCCGTTCGTTCATGCGTGCGTTCATCCGACCATTCGTTCGTTCGTGCGTGCATCCGTTCGTGCGATTGTCCGTCCGTTTGTGTGCGCATGCGTTCGTCTGACCGTCCGTTTGTGCTTGCTTTCGTCTGACTGCCCTTTCGTTCGTGGGTTCGTCCGTCTAACCGTCCGTTCGTCCGTGCGTGCTTTCGTTCAACCGTCCATTCATGCGTGCGTTCGTCTGTTCGTTCTTTTTGCGTTCGTTTGTGTGTTCGTTCGTGCGTGCGTTCATTCGTGCGTTCGTTTGTAACTACGTTCTTGCGTGCGTGGGTTCGATCTTTTGTAAATTGTTTTCTTCTATCTTTCCTTCAAGGAAGGAAGCAAGGAAGGAAGCAAGGAGGGGAACGAGGAAGAAAGGAAGCCAGGAAGCAAAGAAGGAAGGAAACGATGAATCAAGGAAGGAAGGAAGCAAGCAAAGACACAAGAAAGGAAGGAAGGAAAAAAGCAAGGAAGGAAGTAAGTAAGGAAGAAGGCGAGAAAGCAAGGAAGCAAGGAGGGAAGGAAGCAAGGAAGGAATGAAGCGACAAAAGAACAACGCGAGGAAAGAATGAAGGAAACGAGGAAGCAAGGAAGGAGGAAAGAAGGAAGTGAGGAAGCAAGGAAGGGAGGATGCAAGTGAGGAAGGAAGGAATCGAGGAAGCAAGGAAAGAAGAAAGCGAGGAAGCAAGGAAGGAGTAGAGAAGGAAGCGAGGGAGGAAGCGATGAAGCAAGGAAGGAATGAAGCAAAAAAGGAAGGACGCGAGGAAAAAACGAAGGAATCGAGGGTGCAAGGAAGGAGGAAAAAAGGAAGCGAGGAAGGAAGGAAGCAAGGAATGAAAGAGGGAAGTGAGGAAGGAAGGAATCGAGGAAGGAAGGAAGCGAGGAAGCAAGGAAGAAAGCAAGCGAGGAAGCATGGAAGGAAGGAATGAAGCAAGGAAGGAAGGAGGAAAGGAAGTGAGGAAGAAATTTATGAAGAAAGCGAGGAAACAAAGAAAGAGGAAAGGGAGCGAGGAAGGAAAAAAGCATGGAAGGAAAGAGGGAAGCGAGGGAGGAAGGAAGGAAGGGAGGAAGCAAGGAAGGAAGGAAGCAAGGTAGGAAGGAAGCGAGGAAGGAAAGATGCGAGGACGGAAGGAAGAGAGGAAGCAAGGAAGGAAGGAAGCAAGAAAAGAAGAGGCGAGGAAGGAAGGAAGCGAGGAAGCAAGGAGGGAAGGAAGAAAGCGATGAAAGAGAGAGGCGAGGAAGCAAGGAAGGAATGAAGCGAGGAAGGAAGGAAGCAAGGTGGGAAGCAAGCGAGAAAGGAAAGATCCGAGGAAGGAAGGAAGCAAAGAAGGAAGGAAGCAAGAAAAGAAGAGGCGAGGAAGAAAGGAAGGTAGGAAGCGAGGAAGGAAAGAAGCAAGGAAGGAAGGAAGCCGGGAAGGAAGGAAGCGAGGAAGCAAGGAGGGAAAGAAGCAAGGAAGGGAGGAAGCAAGGAAAGGAGGAAGCAAGGAAGGAAGGATGCGAGGAAGGAAGTAAGCGAGGAAGCAAGGAAGGAACGAAGCGAGGAAGGAAGGAAGTGAGGAAGCAAGGAAGGGAGGAAGCGAGGAAGGGAGGATGCAAGAAAGGAAGGAAGGAAGCAAGGATGGAAAGAAGGAAGCGAGGAAGGAAGGATGCAAGAATGCGAGGAAGCAAGGAAGGGAGGAAGGAAGGAAGCGAGGAAGGAAGCGAGGAGGGAAGCAAGGAAGGGAGCAAGAAAGAAAGGAGGGAAGTGAGGAAGGAAGGAAGGGAGGAAGCGAAGGAATGAAGTGAGGAAGCAAGGAAGGAATGAAGCAAGGAAGCAAAGAAGGAAGAAAGCGAGGAAGGAAGGAAGCAAGGATGGAAGGAAGCGACGAAGGAAGGATGTGAGGAAGCGAGGAAGGAAGCCAGGAAGCAAGGAAGGAAGGAAGCACAGAAGCAAGGAAGGGAGGAAGCGAGCAAGCAAGTAAGCAACAGGAGATTGATGTCGGAATAATATTCATAAACATTGTTCTGACTAAATCATTTTATGTTGACCTAAACGCACGCTTATTCGTGTATCTTACTGAATATCGACTTGTACTCAAAGATGGAACAGAGGGGACAGTTGCAATACAGAGAATACAGAATATTTCCTATGGACTATGTAGTAAGATCACACGATAAAAAACGTTATACAACGATTTGAAGCGCAACATATGATATATTGTGCTCTCGATATGCTGTATTTCCAAATGATTTCATCTCGTGCCAATACAGAATTTTTTTAGCACAATGTATCCTACATTGCACTTCAAATCATTCAATAACTTATATTACTTCAAATTATGAAAATGAGGTTAAATGTTTAACATTTCGTCCGATCTAATACTCACATTTCTCAGATGATCTTTCTTATTCTGTAAAATGGCATGGAAATATGATACTGCAGTTTTCCATAACAACGTATCATAATATGAACTATATTAACAGTTGTATTTGCTGTTATTGAGAATTGTATTGACAAATAATGTATTCATCAAACTGGTTACAATAGTGGATCAAGGTGGGTACGAAAGTGGGAGATTTTCAGGGTATAATCGGGATTCACTCCATTTTTGAGAGACACTTGCTCCTGTTTTCAGCGGGACCTCCTCATGTTTTCAGCGGGGCCTCCTCCTGATTTCAGCGGGATCTTTGCTTTATTGCTCCTGCTAGAAGCGGGGCCTTGAGGGATATGATAAAATTTAAATATAAAATGTTCTGTAAAGCTTTAGGAAGCGAAACTCGGTACATCTTTATTTCATATCACTATCGTTATTTCAACCACAGGACAACATCGTTCTTCACCAATAACGTATAGAAATATAAAGATAAAGATTCAAAATGATACTTTCTCTCTTCAATTGACAAATAACGAACCACAGAACGACCGTTCGTGATACATTTTTTCCAGCAGTTGCTTTTTTAGTCTCAATACCATGTAATCATTGGGAAAAATTAAAAGAAAACGTTTTGTAAATCATACAATTCAAGAACACAAAAAAGAACCCATGACTTCTTTTTATTCCTCGCGATTTCAGCGGGAACTTGCTCGCGATTTTTAAATCATAGCGGGGCTTTAGATACTACCCGTGTTCTTATTCAAACTGAATATTTGCTTGACGTTAATGCAGGTTTCAGGGTTTGAGGGTTTGTGAAAATGTGAATATGATCATTGCAGTATAGATATATGGGCAGCGTCAGTCCCTTTACGTTTGGACATCCTGTATGTATAACAGGAGAGTTACTAATATTTCGAAACATTTTAATATCGGACATCCGTATTACTGGCATGGTTTATAGGGGTTTACTTTTACCATTACTTTTTGGACATCATGTATGTATAACAGGAGAGTTACTAATATTTCGAAACATTTTAATATCGGACATCCGTATTACTGGCATGGTTTATAGGGGTTTACTTTTACCATTACTTTTTGGACATCCTGTATGTATAACAGGAGAGTTACTAATATTTCGAAAGATTTTAATATCGGACATCCGTATTACTGGCATGGTTTATAGGGGTTTACTTTTACCATTACTTTTTGGACATCATGTATGTATAACAGGAGAGTTACTAATATTTCGAAACATTGTAATATCGGACATCCGTATTACTGGCATGGTTTATAGGGGTTTACTTTAACCTTTCCGTTACCTGCAGTGTTCTCCAAAGGATTTTTTCTCAAGTGGGTGCAAATTTCTCATTTCCACAGTTCAGATTTCATGTTTTTCTCATTTTCAAATGGGTGCAAATGGATTCTCAGGTGGGTGCAAGCCTATTATCATTTCAGGTGGGTGCTGCATCCACTTGCTTTAATGCTGGGGAGGTCACTGCCTGTTTCAATTTCAGGTCCTTACCCTTCACAAAAATTCTATTTTGTCAATCCTCATTGAACAGATATAAGTTCTGGACCACTGCGTTTTATTTTCAGCATATACAGTAAATACCTAACATTCATTTCACATAAAAACCTCCATAAACGGCCACGATATCTACATTTGAAATCATAAGCTGGGTCAAAATTGTTAACTCATTTTTCGTCGTCAGAGGGTATAGAAACTAGCCAATAGCTATTCAGAGTATTGTATCCACCATACCTGGATTGTACTGATATTCTCTGTTCTTATCCCCATGAAAATTGATCAAACAGTAATTCCATTGAAATTCTAGATTATCTGGAAGCCACAGAGCTTATTTAACATGCTTGAGAAGAAACGACGTTCATTACCTTGAATATCGTACCTGTGATATAAAACACATAAATATAGTGGGCAGAACATGACTGAAAAGCCATTCTGATTCATCTATATATAGCGACTGAATAGCGTTACAAAATTATTTTTGTATCTGATGAGTGATGAAGTATATGTACGTCTCTATCTTTTCAACAGGAATCTATCGTTTGGTTCTCAAATGGCGGGTATTTAGTGTTAGATATTATTTCCTTGTTAGTTTGATCACTGATTGTGATATTGGGAGTTTGTTTTCAAAATGGTTCGTTCTTTCATAATGTTTGTTTTTTCTTGCTGTTTTCATGCTCTGTTGTATTTCCATTTCTGCATTTCTGCTTGCATACCTAAATAACGTTTTTCCATATTACCTGTCCTTAGATATAAAAGGCAATCTAACCACCCAATTTGTTTATCTACTATAGGATTGATGAATACGTAAATATGAAGCCGAAACACTAATAACGTCTGCTGAACAGATAAGACACGAACTTAATTAACTAAGATGGTATAGCAATAAAATGTTAAGTATCAAACCTCGCGAATTTATTTCAAGATATACATGCTTTAATAAGACCATTGTAGAATTAATGGAAAAATCATGGTTTCGTGTTTTCATGATCACAGGCCAAATTAATGATTACACGAGAAAAAGAATAAGCCACATCCCATCATTAGTCTACGAAAACAAAATTAAGCTAAACATAGAATATAATTACCACCGACTTGCTTATTTCATTAGTCTTTAAAATCCCATGACACGAGAAGAGCAGACAAGTGTTGGCCACTTAAATTGAAATCTTGTTTGATGACATAATCAAGCTTGTGTTTGATCTTAGAAAACTTTCAATAAATCTCTGTATTTTCAGAACAAAATTAGTTATATTTATTTCTCGTTAGACTATTACTTTTGTATCAATAAAATATGACGTCATTCTGTCAAATAACATCGTTTATACGGAACACAAATAAGATCGCGATCTTGCTCGATTAATTACTCATCAAGTCCAATATTGTTAGACTTCTCCAGAACTGTTTGACAGCAAGCCTAAATGTCACAAATACTAGCAAGTTCAATAGTCTAGTAATAAGTATCTCTCCTCACGCTTTTTATTACTCTAATTAAAGGTTCACTAATAACTACAAATTAATCTTGTCTTAAATCAATTTTGCGGAGGCCCAATCAAACATGACATTGACCTTTAAAAAATATTTCCTGGTCACACTGACCTTTCATTTTACGAAATTCTCATTTTCTGCATTCAGTTTTGAAAATAACTTATTTCACCAAGTTTGACAACCTTTCTTATCATGCATATGACCTTTGAATCCTGAAACGACCAATCACTGTATATACCAAGATTTTCAGATTATTATCACGTTATATTCACACCAGCTTTCAGAGTGTCTTCGTGTACATGGTGAGCCAAAAAAGGTAACCCAAACAAATGTATGTTGAACTAAGTCATTCAGCATGGGTTTGAACATGGGCTTTCAATAGAATGAATGCCCGTGGTTTGAACAACCCTTGAAATATTGAAACAATAGGTTAAGAAAAAAATGGAAGTCGTAACACAAGGCCGTGAGTCTCCAAACACGACGCCGGTATTATAGCATGTTTTGTAAAATTGCCATAAGATCGCGACCAATTGGAAATACACCAAATAAACATTGAAGAAGATTTTAATTGTGCAAAATATGACACTGAACCCAAGCTGAGTTATTATCATTTGATTGGGTTACATTTTGGCTCACCCTGTGTATCGTCAGACCTGACAAAGATATCTTTGAGCACCTTCCAAGGGTATCTGAGCGCCCGTCCCCACAAAAATCTTTAAAAACTGACCCCACCCCTTTGCAAAACCTAGGCCTGATCCTAACGCTCGAGAAACAAGACCAGATCGTCTAGAAACTACTAAATAATCCACAATTCATGCAGTGATACCTTTCTAGTAAACATGAACTTGGCCTTGTATACTGTATATTTGATGGCCTTGACATTTTTAGGTCTCAAAAGATCTAATGATTTATGTTTTAATCCAAATCGACGATTCAACTTGAGGCCAGATGCCATGTTAGATGTTGCTTTTCCAGAAATCCAGTGTTTAGTTAATTTATGTCTTCGCTATGTTTAAATCAAAGTATCTATTTTGGTTGTGACCTTATACTGTATATGCCTTTTTGTATTATAAAAGAGGTCGTTTTCATATATTTCATTTCATATAGATTTAGCTAGTTGAAGACCATTTCATTTGATAGGATGCTTTATGTGTTTTTAAATAATAGTTTAGTTTGAATGATTTATCCTTGAGAAACTTAAAGAGACTTAATTCTATTCTGCAGTTGGCCTTGACCTAGATGAAAAATGTCTTTGTAAGTCACAGGTCCTCTACCATTAAATTAATTGTTATAAATGGGGCAATAGAATAATAGCAAAAGGTTGAATGGCCGACACACAGGGTAGGCTTAGTCGCACATCCAATTAATGACCTTAAAACCTTAATGAATATAACGACCTTGCCGGGCCTGTTCTAGGGGCATTAGTGCTAGTTTAGAGGGCTTTTATTTTACAATATTGACCTGAACAATATGTGACGTTATAGTGGTGGGCCAATAGTACAATAACGAAGGGCAATATAGTAAAATATTGGACCGAGGCCCGAAGGCCAAAGGTCCAATATTCCACTATATTGCACGCAGACCAGGGCTGAAAATGTTAGGCATTGAACGATATCTAATTTCCCGGGGAAAATTGCCGGTCATTAATTGCATTATTGACCGCCATTATGGACCGCCTCTATGACGTCACATATTGCTCAGAGGGGTCATTCATCAAGCTATCGCAAGCACGTCGCAAGCCTGCGATGTCGCAAGGGCCTTTTTTAGCGATTACGTCCTATTCATCAATCTCGTGCGACTGCGATCGGTAGAATTTTCTGCGACGTCGCAGTGAAATACCCCTAAAATGGCCCAAATTTAAGCGACCGGTGGTACCCAGTCGCAGTGATTTTAGTTCAAGAAAAATGTCTTAAATTAATTGAATTTCTTTATGAAATTATATAGAAATTCTAGGACGTATAGTTCGATATTCGATCCATGATGTATTAAAATTGCAGAACATATGCATTATGTTTAACATGTTTGTGATGCTATCAAAAACAGCTAGTTTTCGGCTTGTATTTTTAAGTACTTCACCGTGCGACCGGTCGCAGTGCCAGTGATTGTGCGTTACATGTGGTTTGAACCCACGTGGCTGTACCCACTCAGTATCTATTTTGTCAATCTTGCATGACGTGTTTAATCGTCTGCTGGCAGTGTTTATTCGTTCAAAATGGCGCAACTGATGGTTGATTTCAACCGTAATGCTCTCCGTTGAGAACGCGTATTTAGGGATCGTACGGATCCTCTTCTAATATACGGTGATGTGGACCTTATTTTGCGATAACAAATGCCTAGGTTAACTAGTATAAAAGTTTACGAAATGATACAAGAGGATCTCGAAAGGATAGCTAACACGTGTACAAGCACGTACACGTGGTAATCACTGCGACTGGTCGCAGGGGCATCGCAGACTGCGATTTGTTAATGAATAGGTCGCAGTCGCAGTCACTGCGACCTCGCAAGGTGGTCGCAGTGTCTGCGACGTCGCAGTGATTGCGATAGCTTGATGAATGACCCCTCAGGTCGATATAGTGAAATGAATGCTTTCTAAACTAGCAGTAATACCCCTAGAACAGGCCCGGTAAGGTGGTAATACAATTCAATTAACGCCCGGCAATGTTTCCCGAAAAATTAGATATCGTTCAGTGGGTATAATTTTCGTTCAGTGGCAGTCCGTTTTTGCTATTTCAGCCCTGGGCATAATAAACCCTTGTTCCAATATTTCACTTTATTCCCCTTGAAATGACGTTAGTGATAGTTATAATCTCATTTACTTTCAATCAACGATTAAGGCGCCACGTGGTTTTTACACTGCCGAATATCAGATTGATGAGTTAATAATTTACAAACGAATTGTTGAAACAGACGACGATGTTGAGTGAATTAAAAGTGTGGCTACGACAATCAGAAATACGATATGTTTGAGGTTTCGGTGAAGATGACAATAAAGTCTTCGTTACATATTTAAACCTTCTGAGAGCCATAGTTTCGCATGGCGCAGGTTTTTGTAGCTGACATTTACATGTAATACCTGTTTACCAAAATGAATATAACGACTTAAAAGTAAAGTTTTAAACTTAATAGATAACAGCAACGCCGAAGCGTGGCCCCTTGCAGCCATGGTTGTTATTTTGGGAAATGGCCGCAAATTAACCAATTGTCATTCGACAGTATAATATTCGTCTTAGTACGTACATGAACTCACACATGAAATTTCAACAAAATCAAACTAGATAGCTTTTCAGTTTTGGCAAAAACGTAAATTAAAACAAAAATGGCCACCATTTTCAAAATGGCAGCTTACTAGCCAAAGTGTCATTGGAAAGTGTAATATGCTTCTAAGTGTTCACATATAAGATTTCTACAAAATAGCTCCACTAATTTATTTTTCTATGTCAATCTTTTCTAAATATGTTAAAGTGAAGAATATATTATGTTTTAAATATTATTGTACCGTTGGATTCTATGAGAACTTAAATTCTGAAATGCATTTTTCTCTGAACCATTTTCATGCATTGATGAGTTCATTTCTCATGTGAGGAGTTCATGCAAGGATGAGTGCTATGCATTGGATGATCGTTTATTATATTGGGCCAACAATATTTTAGTGATTGCCCGAACGGACGAACGGAGCCTTTCTCTATCCCTCCGAATATTCGATGGGATAGTAAAAGCTTAAAATTAGAGAAACTAAGCGGCAAGTCGGATGAGAAATCAAAGTGAGTCGAATAAGAGAGCTAGTTTTGGTTTTAACGCGAACTATCGGTACATTATATAGTCAGCAAAGCAATTGTTTCGCAAAGGTACGACTGATATACCTTAAAATACATTATTTAGAACTGGGGTTTGCTCAACAGAAGCAATTAAAGCAGTCTATATGTTTAGACGCACCAGGGGAGAACACACTGCTTCCTGAGACTTAATTTAGCAATTACTAGTAGATCCAATTTATAAATGCTTTAATGTACCTAAACAATCAATTTTCAATGAGGTGCAGTATTTTTCCAGGCGTTCTTATTTATGCATGTATTTTATTCGATTTTGTACATTACTGGGTATCCCCCAGACACCAAATTAAGATTATCGTCATTCTCTATTTAATCATCTACATTCCCTTGTGGTAGCGCTATTGTTCCATAAGTAGCCTAATAAGTCATAACTATTTTATATTCTTTCAGATTTCTCAGGAAAACAGGGCTTTCTGGAAATAATAAACTGTAGAAATGAGCCCAATGAGAGAATTGATTGTTCATTGCTATGCTGGCAGCAGAGACTGGTTAACGTAAATGATGATTGGGGGTTATCGCCACTTCATATATAAACCATAATATGGAAAAGAAAGAAATACGCCAAGTATCCATCATGAAACTTTTATTTTAAGCGATATATTTTACGAGCAAAGATAAAAATGGATTGGAAAAATAGCTCAGAGGTGTATAATAACAGTACAACAACAGAGGCAGTAACCATGGATTATGGAAATACAACAACGGAATCCAGTAGAAGTACGCCAACTTCATATCCAATAGAAAGAGCAACCGATAGCGCGCAATATGACAACAGCATCGCTACTTCAGTCAGCGCTCCGTTATTTAACAGGACAACTCAGTTTTATCCCTCCTCTACGGAACTAATTAGCCAGCTGGATCGTAAGAATGAAGATATGATTCCGTCGCTTGAGCAGAAATATGAACAAGCCTCTAGCATGGTAAGTGAGGATGTAGCGCCTCTGCTTCAAGCTACAACTGAAGAAATGGATTCTACACCATCACCTACAGAAAATAATATTACACTTTCGGAGTATGTTAGACCCGATTATCTAAAATCTGCTAATTCAACCTTAAACCTTAATAAGAGTGCAGGAATTCGGGAAGGAATAATTGATGACGGGTTACACAACCTAACAAATCATACTCTATTCCCAATAGGATATACTAATATGAATGAAATGCAGTTGAATTTATCCTTCTGCGATTTTGACTTAAATTCAACATGGTGCTACTATAATGAAACAGATAACGATACTGATTCAATAAACACTATGGATGACGGATATAAATATTTTGCACTTATACTATCGATATTTCCTATATTGACAGTATTTGGTAACATTCTAGTAGTTATAGCCGTCTATAGGGAAAGAAATCTCCGGACAGTCACGAACTACTTTATCGTGAGTTTGGCCCTGGCAGATATAGGTGTCGCTGTACTGGTCATGCCGTTTGCAATATACGTAGAGGTAAGTAAACGTTAGATTCCCAGGGTACTCAATACAGTAAAATATGACTTCATTAGTTTCTGGTCAGAAATCCTGAGGACCTGATTTTGCAAGAGATAACCACATCCAAAATTGTTTTTTCTGAAGGTATGACAAAACAACAGAAACATGTCTTGATATTACGTTAGATTTGTAATACTAATCTTGATACTTGGTCAAATAAACAGGATGGTACGCGCATTTTTACTGTGAAGGGGACAACATTTTCGTCAAATATCCCGCTTCTCTATCATCTACTTCGATCGCAACTAGATTGAATCACAAGTTGACCCGTTTATCATTGAAAAGTTTACTGGTGGCTTGACCGATTGATTGATTGATTGGTGAGTTGCTTGCTTGCTTGCTTGCTTGCTTGATATGTTTATTAATTGACACATCAACACATCATGTTTAACCGCTATCTTCTCCTGTCGCTAAAAGCACATTCAGAGATGCCAATGTGTACTCTACTAAGGCTCGGCGTGTATTTCTGATTTTATAAACCATTAATATTGTATATCAGTAAGTTCGCCCTGGTCTCTGTATCTGTATGCAAACTCCAGTGGATCAATAGACCAACATAATCATTGGATAGGCAAAGTTTTTGTAACAAAGGTAATGAAGTTACTTCTCGAGACCAGCCTTACAATGTTAATCTTCCTTCGATAATGACGGTGTCGCTATTCCAGTCACAAAAATCAATTGCAATCACAAAACATGGCTAATTGTAAGAAACGGTAAGGCGCTCACCTAACAGAAAAGTATTCTAATCATAGAAAGCGGACTTAAATGTCCAATTTACTTTTAAATAAACTATTGAAAATATTCATGCTTGCAAATTGATTATCAGAAGAATGAATAACACTTAACTTATCTTGAGTTGGGACTTTAATTGGCTTTCCATTCGGATGGTGATGCATAATACAATTCGATCAATTCGTTTATCTTAGGACCAAACTGAGCCACTCATGTAATCATTTGTGTTAGAAATATCGGCGAAACTACCACTACTTGGAATTCAATAGGACTGCAAAAATATGTTAAATCGGTGACCATATAGAACCCCAGCCCAATCCCCATCGCATTATATTGTAATGGGTGTGGAAGCCTTTCAAAACGTTCTCTCACTCCTAGGAGGCACGTCAGGCCCATAGCCAGCTTAGGCTAAGGAGAATAAGGTTTTGAAAAAAATCCAGGGAGTTCAAATTTAACAAATGTTGCCCAAAATCACTCAAAGGTGCTCAAAATGGTGAAATTTGCATGATCTTGGGCTAAAACCCTCCTCCCTCCCCCGGCCCCGGCTATGCGTGTTGCAACTAGAGTTGTCCGTGGCATTCTTCACGACTGGGATATGTTTTATATACACTATTTGTCAGTGTTAGGTGCAATCTGAGTGTTTTAGAATCAAATTATATTAGCGAAATTCACCTCATCTCTGGTAACGGCACGGTAGACAATTGAAAGCTCTCATTAAATATTCAAGACCATTAAATGATATCTCCTCCAGGAACTCGAAGAGATGAGCAACCAGATGCAAACATTGATCTTGCAGAGCCTTTGACAATGTCTCATACATCAAGGACTAAGTGTAAAAAGAATACAATAGACAACTATTGGGCACTATAGGAAAATGCCTGCAGCTAGAATCCCTTCAGAAACATGAAACACGCGTTTTATTTTTTGATAAAACATTGATTATGATTATTCACTGCGTGAGTTGCTGTGCTTTGTAAAGGAAAAACACCCCAATATACTCCCACAATGAAATCTATAAAAGCTTCGGGTAGTCAACGTTATTGAATAACTGCACTTTTCAATAAAGATAGTATGGCAATGGCAATGAAAAAAATAGAACAACCCAATTCCGATTTTATATATAACTGTGCATAGTCAGTGTTACGAGAGTGTTCAATTCTATGCGCTAGCAACACCTTACATGTAACACGTTACGCGTTCTCTTGATCGATTTTATGCCCAAGCTTTTGGTCTCTTATGGCAATTACCAAACAGAGAAAACGAATGTAAATTGAAAAGAATCTAGTGTATTGAACTGTGTAATTGAATGGAATTGTTGGACCCCAATCAAACATTAACAATAGACTCCGTCAGGAAATGTACCTACATCAATAAATCAGTTTAAAAAGAAACAATTTACGTACCGACGTATACTGATGCTCATGTGCGGACCTCGGGGAATATAATTCTGATATATATCCTCCATAAAACATGGAATCGTTTACACGGGAGCATCTAAATTGCAACTGAAGATAAAAAATGCATTAATTGACTCTTAGAAGTATAAAACATAAAATAATAAATGATATGGATTTGATCCATAATTTACATTCACTGCGCAGTGCACTGACAATTACAAAAGGATTCACTAATAAACAATGCGTCACTATCAATTATCCAAATTGGAGAAAGATAAAATCTAAAAATATCATAAAATAATTGACATTCCTACATTCTTTTTCCAGATAAAAAGATGATTGCATGAAATAGTTCGTAGTCTGGGATACGTGACCAAATGCTTATAAGTCTCAACACTTAATGTATCAGCCTGAGTTCGAGTGTTCCATGTGATATAATGGACGCAATCTTTAAAGAGATCGGGTCTCCTAAAAACATAGTTAGAGTAACCCCCTGATTTTTTCGTCTTATTTGATAAACAAGATTGTTTATCAACTTATCAATTTTGAGGCTTGAATTAATTCGTTAACAAATTCAAATAAAAATTCAAATTCAAATTTGAAAAGCCCGCTCTAATTTGTTCCAGTCTGATTGGCTTTTTCCTTCAGATTATTTTGGCTTAGAGAAGCCATCTAAGGGGTTACAATATAGATAAGTCCCAAAAAACATTGTATTCTGTTTTCGACTTATTGCGTTCAGTTCTGACAGTATTTTGTCGATATTGTGCTTATGATTTGGTCTCAAGCTATATCTAAGGTATATATGATGTTTTATGATGTTTTGCCATCTGAAAAAAAAAATTAGATATCGGATCAAAAATGTACGCTTTTGAAGATTTGAGATACAAATTGTCTAATGTCATTGCCTTTTAAAAGACTTCAAAACTAGGAATCATTCTGCGCAAAGGGCTGCGATACATTCTTGCGAATTGCTACGTTCATAGCATTTTGTATTGTTAGCTATAAAATAGTCGAAAAAATGCTCATGCTTATTGAAAAAATGTCCACTTATAAATGGTACTGATATGTATACTTAAGTATTAATGTAATATCTTTAAAACAAGCCACGTTCATAAGTATGCGCATACTCTTTCGCAGTAACATGTTGTCTGACAATTTTTTTATTATTTCAGACTTCGATATTTACATACATCTGAGCATCTGTTCATTGTAGTTTTGTTCCGACGTAAATTGTTTTTCTTTTTTCCTTCTCATTGTGTTTCCTTAGTTTTCTCCCCTTGAATTGACCATTGCAGTGAGAAATGTATCGAGAATAACGTTATAAATGCAACCTTAGAGAACTACTTATAAAGTAGGTGTATGGGTAATATTTTATACACTGTGACAATATAGTAATTAAATTACTATTTATCAATATAATGCTCCCAATCGTCCGAATGTAAAGACATTTACCCATTTACTAGAGATACTTACTGGTTAATCTGTCAAGAATTGGATTTACTTGTCGATAAATTGATTATCACATTTGATAATGGAATTATATATTATTATGGCCTCGTTCGAGAAGGGATGCGAAGGGAAATACATGTAATGACGTAACCTTGAAGTACTCTATTATAGAATTAATTAACTTATCATCGCCATCATCGTTTAAGCAAAGTGACCCATATCTTTGAGAATAATCATATAGAAGACAATATGAACAAATTACATAACACGTCGTGTTGTAAGGTATAATCGGAAATGTTTGTCAAATGAAATATGACTCCGTGAAATGCATAGATCTACGGGGTGAATATTCTGCCATTTCAAATCAGAAATATGGACCCTTAGCTTGAAATCAAATAATTGATATCCGAAATCGCAACAGCGTGTATCATTAGCGTCATTTTTAGTTGATGGGCAGATTAAGTTGTTCTTTCTGGAACCTCGTAGTGTTTGCTGTTCGCATTCTACACCTATATGATCACTATCATCATTGAAATCATAACATCACATCACGCTGGTATTATACCAATGGAACGTTAACCAGCCATGCCTGGATTAAGAGTTACATTTCGGAAGTGTGGTTCTAGGGTACTTTTGATATAATGTTATTGCTCCCATGTACGATTGCACTAAACACACACAAAGACGAGCTTTTTATTAGTTTTTAGTTCTAAATAATCGTTAACCAGCTATTTAGGAGTTGATTAAGAACTAATGTAGTCGATCAACATCACTTAGAAAACAATAAACGTATACTTACCACACTCAATATTAATGGGGGTGTACTATAGACCAACATGAATGGGATGGTCTTATTTTTTCTTGTATGCATATCTAACCCAGAATCATTTCAAGTGGATCTCATCAAAAGTATATATGGTAAGCAAATGCTTGGATTACGTCAATATAATTACATACTAGAAAAAATGCCCATTTAATAAGTACCAGCGATAATAATGATTCAAACCAGGGGGTCTACACTACACACGTGAGACGTCACTCAATGTAAATCATGACAAATCAGGAGAGTATCAACAAAATGAACATGCAAAAGACAGATGCATTGCTTGATGTTGACTCTGACATATTATTTTGAGTTTTGGCCGGATATAACAGACAGTTGTTAAATGGTGGTAATGTTTGCCCTCGTATATTTCAGCCCTGTTGACGAGATGTACATGTTGTTCTCTTGTTTCATGTCATTTGTTTGGAACTGTTTTGTAATTTGCGTCCTATTCCAATGTTACTTTTTGTTTTGCCATTAGAAATTAAGTATTCGACTTTCCAGGATGAGTCTGAGAAAAATCAAGTTGAGTGGCATTGAAAGATTTGCTTACCATC